GCTTAGTGAAAGAAGCCAGTCTGAAAAGGCTACATACTATATGATTCCAATTATATATTCTGGAAAAGATTAAACTATACAATCAGTACAAAAGATCAGTGGTCACCAGGACTTTTAGGGAGAGGGGAAGGAGATAAACAGGTTGAAGCTCAGGTGATTTCTAGGACAGTGAAAATATTATGTATGACATTATAAGGGTGGATAAAGGACAAGAGCTGTCTAGTTTTGATGCATTTGTCAAAATCCATGGAATTTTAAAGCACAAAGAATGAACCTAATTATATGCAAATTTAAAAAAATCATTTAGGAGTTGGGGGGATCCCAAGAAGAAATATAGGCTGTGACAAGAAAATCTAGTTACGTTACAAATACATGAAAAAACCTCATTGAGGGGAGAATGGGGTGGGAATGTGATGACCTAAGCAATTTTGAAATGAGTGGAGTCTCCAAGACGAAATGCAAAAGGAACTGCACATGGGCACTGTACTCTAGTTGACAAAGTTGGTTCCCATGGAGGTGTGCGTTAACAACTATGATGCTGGTATACATGAATACTAGAACTGAACAATTAATTAAGTGGGTGGAAGATGGTGGAAGCCAGATTCCCACTGTTGGATTGAGAATTTACAGCTCCGCAAGGAAAGGAGGCTAGAATAATCCATATGGTAATGAATTAGAGTTACAGATGTCAGTAAGAAGTCATGTTTAGCTTAATATAGCTACAGATGGTTACATATAGCAATGTTTATAGATATGCATACATAGACAGGTTAATAATACAAAATATGCCCCTGCTTTGTCAGGTGAGGAGGCATAAAAGAAATGACACCCCAGCAGGAATGAGCACACAGACCTCGGCTTCTAATGTCCTTCTCCATGTAACCCACATTGATGGGGGTACGCCAAAGGGGTACAGAAGCCCACTGAAAAAGCTCCCAGCAGCCAAAGCTGAAACAATCTGAGCAGCAAAATAAAGTAGCATTGGATTATAATCCAGAGTATAAAATAAAATATATCCGTGAGTCCATACTGATATAAACAAATGATTAAATAAATTAATAAATGAGGGAGAAGAGATCTCCCAGGTAGAAAAACTCCAAATAATATATGTAGAAACTTCACCCTCAAGTACCGGAAGCATAACTCCCCACTTCTTAAGCATGGGCTGCACACAGTAGCTTCCTTCCGAAGAAGACAGGAGAAAGCGGGGAGTAACTACAGTGGAAAAGCTAGCACATGCATGCCACTTCAGTCAGGTGATCAAGGTTAATCTCAACAGTGCTAAGTCATTAATAGTACGTACATCCTGTTGATATGATGTGATGAAAACTGCACTTTACCTTTGTGATCTTACTGCCTTAACTCATAACCCCCGTCTAATCGTGAGAAAAACATGAGACAAAATGCAAGAGAGGGGCGTTCTAATCTAGGCCTGGCCAGTATCCCTCAAAACTGTCAAGGTCATGAAAAATGGGAAATCTGAGGAACTGTGACATCCAGGAAGAACCTAAGGAGACATGACAATTAAATGTAATGCCATATGCTGGATGAGATCCTGGAGAAAAAAGATAAAAAGACATTCGGTAAAAACTAAAGAAAGCTGAATAAACTATGGACTTCAGTTAGTTAACACTGTATCAATCTTCATGCATTGTAACAAGTATACCAAAATAATGCACAATGTTTCTGAGAGGGGAAATTGGGTGGGAAGTATATGGGAATTCTCTGTACTATCTTCTCAAACTTTCTGTAAATCGAAAACTGTTCTAAAAAATCAAGTCTATTTTTTCAAATGGTCTTCTCATTCAAAATGATGAACTGGTGCTATTTGGGAAGTTTCTTCTTTATAATCATGCGGTTCACAGAAGGAATGCTGGTGGCGACTATCACATGATAAATCCTAGCTCTCTCCGAGACTACCTAAATTGCTCTATGCATTATCGCACGCCACTACTAACAGCAATAGTTAGTTAATAATAGTGAACATCTCACTCAGTTGTCCCTGGCTGCTATTCCAGCTCTTCTGTCCACCTGTTTCTGTATAATACATGACAGTTTTCAAACACTGATTTAGACTGGTGGATAGGATTGACCATTTTCAATGGTCATCTGTTTCACTCTTAAGTTTCTTAGTAGAGTACATAGATTCTCAGTAGTACATCAGTGCTAAATACTTGTTTAAAAGTATTTTAACCAATATAAAAAGGAACTTACACAGACTAACTGGCTTGCCTTCTTTGGGTATGAACTTGTATCTAAACATGAAAAGAGAAAGGAAAATTGTGCCCAATAATGCAGTATTTAAACTTTGTGTCATAAAGCCATACTTAGAATGGCTGTTGTTTTAATGCCTTCTGAAATTTAAACACTGCAGCCAAATAAAAGACAAAGATTAAAAAAAAAAGTTAACAAAGCTTTTCTGGCACCTAAGGCCTTTCGATACTCATTATGGTTGGGGCTCTTCACCTCCATCCAGGTCCATGAATAGAATTCAGAGTGCCGGGGAATTTCAAAGGAAAAAAACAGCTCGTCTTTATTTTCACCCCCCTCACTTTCAGCATTTCCTTTCAGTTATAAATACAGTCAACAAACCATGGTAGGATTAGCAATACCCATGCCTAACAGAAATCACAGCTATTTTTATAGTCCATTACAGTGTTCCATAATCGCTAAATATTGCTTACTTTCATCATTATTCATAAATGACAATAGTTTGTAGGCCCACCGCTAAACCTTGATATTTACTGCATTCATTTAGTAACATACATATTCCTTTATCAGGACTTTGGTTTACTCATATTTTGACAACTTTAACCAATAAAATTTCTTTTCTTTGTAATCTTAGCTATTTTGTTAAATTTAAAAACACTATCCGAGAAGGAGTGCATAGACTTCACAAAATTGCCAGTGGGATCCATGGTACAGAAAACCATAAAGAACTCTACGAATAAAGCCTAAAATTTCAATAAAGCCACCCACAGGCTTTTAGTGTATCTAAACCCTGATAGGGATAGAGCCCTATATTTTACAGCCTTCACTTCCCCCAAGCATCTACTAATTTTGCTATAATTTTCACATTTATCAGTTCTAACATTGTTTTCAAAATCCAGTGTTTACAGGTTTTAACGATGAGTTTCACACAAGAAAAGCCCTGCCAATACCAAAAGACATACATCTAATAATCTATACCAGTATCTGTTTACAACAAATGGCACTGAAACAAGATTCAACAAAAGAAGGGAAAAGCCTGAAAGAACAGCACAACAGGCAAACTAATTCTCAGTGACAGCCTCGTCTTTCATCTTAAGCCATGCCTTGAACTCTACCTTGTTTAATTATTAAATCAGGAGCTGCTCGGCAAGATCTGTCTAGTTTTGATGATTCTTAAATTCAATCTTGCTGACAGACTCTGTCCATTTTTCTTTATATTTACTATTATCTAATGACAAGGTCTGAATGCTAATTTTGAAATTCAACTTTCATTAAAAATAGAACGAAGTTTTTCTGACAGTGACCTCTTGGCTCCAAAGTATCACTTTTCTTTACATCCCGAATTCATAAAAATTAAAGATTCCACTGCAAAAGACACTGCTCTCTTCGTATTATTTAATTAATAATACATACCAATGCATTAAACATTTTAGGCAATCAATATGTTTCACAAATTTCAACTTTAAAATTACTTAATATATTCAATTCACATTTGCGAAAATATAGGATGAAACTGTAGGATGTCAAATATAGATGACAAAAATGTATTTCATATATAAATTTGGGTTTTGTTCATGACTTTGAATATCATTATGCTATCTATTACCAAGAAAGTAAATTCTTGATATTTTCCCCAGTAAACCTGATACTACCTTCAGCCTTCTCGGTCTCCCTGAATTGCATCATCATTTGCCAGTTCTCACCTCTAGACTGACACCCACATCCAAGCGGCCCACCCATCCTCCTGACTGGTCTCCCTGCCCCACCCCCTCCTGGCACCCTACCGTTTATTCTCCACATAGAACCAAACAGATACAAATCGCTGTGGATCTTGCTTCCCGTTTTTCTAACCCTGGGAGACAGATCAGCGAGCTGGTCTAGGGGTCTCTAAGATCTGCCTGGGTAAGTGACTCTTGTTCAAATTCCACAGCTTTAAACTCAAGGAAGTCCTCGGACCACGCCAGACAGCGCTGGGTGGGCTGTGAGTGGTAAATGAGGACGACGTCCATGCCGAGGATGCAAGGCTCTACCAGTCTGTGAGGTCATGGCTTACGAGGAACAGACTGCCTCTCAGGCAGGTGCAGAGCCCTGGTCTGCATGCCCACTGCCTCCCGGTTCCAGGCGTATGTGTTTTAGGAAGTCAGCTGAGCTTCTAAAAAGCCGAAGACATTCACTCCTTCAGGCCTATCCTCTGCAACTAGGAGCTCTCTGAGGAGGCGCCTCAGGGAGCCTCCATCTTCGGGAAAGTTGCTGGTCTCTGCGGTGCGCAGTCGTGCCTGCTTCTGCAGCCTCACAGGAGGGCAACTTCCGGGCTGTACCCCTGTGATACCTGTGTCTGGTCCTTCAGTCAAGATGAATCTACTAAGAACACCTGTGTTAGAGTCGTCACACTACTCCTACCTCCCATTTGATTTCCTTCACACTAGTATTAAGTATTTTCAGAAAAACGGTCAAGTCTTCAGTTAAAAAGAATGAAACCAACAAACAGAAAGAAAGCAAGAAATTATCTCTAGACTGACAGTCAGTGAAAACACAAGAAGAAAGATTTGCAAAGGCTTCTGGGGGGTTAAAAAAAAAATGTGGCATCAAACAGTCCAGAGTGAAATCCCACAGCTACTTCAAGAGCCCGCCCATTGTCACATATAAATCTGTATCAGGTGGGAAGCCAAGCGATTTCTTTCAATTCTACATCACATTTATGCCCTACACACATCAGAGAAGCATGGGGACATGAAGATTGAGAGGGTAGTTTCAAAAAATGGGAAGAAAAGGAAAAAAAAGAGACTTACTGTGGACTGTGTCTGTGCCATGTATTCGCCCTCCATTTTATTCAGACGTACGTTTGTGTCTTCCAGCAATTCTTGAATATTTTCAGTGTGCCGCTTTTGAAGATCAAACTTTTCCTTTTCCATTTCTGCTACAGCATGGTGGAGCTACACAATGAAATCAGGAATTGATTCTTCTATTACTATTATAAAATAGACTACTTTGCAATTCAGAACAAGTGTTTTCCTATATTCCTCTATTGGTTTATATGCTGACTTGAACAATAAAAGATAGGAAACTCATAAATAAACATTCAAAGTGAGGATATCGTATAAAGAACATGATTAAGAAACTATTTTTTTCTTTACTTTCCTGAATTGAGAATTTTTAAAGGATAAACAATTAAAGGGAATTACCCATCTTGGGTAGAAACAGTAAATAAATCAGACAGAGAATACAATGTCTCAGCTAAACAACACTAGCATTAGCCTGAAATCAGAAAATAAAAATCTTTATAATATAGTCGTTGGTTAGGAATATTATCTTACTGTCTGTATTTTGATATTATTTGCATGAAATTTTGTGTAAGGGAAATGTTAAAAATTCTTTCTCCTTCACCCTAACCCCAACAAGAAACTATTTTTATCCATTCTCACAATCTATACAAAAGTTGACATAAAGATGTCATTTATAAATGAAACACAGAAAGAATTCTCTAAGGAGAACTATACTATTCGTCCTCATGCATGCAAGTCTTTCTTTATAAAGATTATGCTCTATCTATGTAACTAAGGTGAAAACAAAACAAAACAATGTTCAATGGACGGCTTCCAAAGGGAGTTGAAAATCTGTGCTCGCAGCCTCGTGAGCACTCCTTCCCTTATCTGCATGGGAGTGGGGTTCTGACTCTAACTCCCCTCCCTGCATCAACCCCAGGCTCACTCAATAGGTGGGGAGGGCAGGAGTCAAAAATAGTCTAAAAGACCTAGATGATTTCCCAGTCATGACCAGGAGAGAGAGAACAAGGATATGACACGTGCATAGACTCTTATTTGACTAGGAAGGTACTGACGGTACAGGGAAAACCCTGCAAGATGGTGGAAGCTAGAGGCAGAATGCTGGCAATCCTTACGCTACTGTAATTATAGGTAAGGGTTCTAAGAGCTTTCCGTCTAGTGTCTAGTTGAACAGGACGAGTGAGGATGGCTCAGTAACAGCCATACAGAAGACCCGTGAGTTTCACAAATTTAACATATGCAGTTTTGACTACTTGTACATGGTCCCCCCAAATCCCTGTTATACTGTATTTGTATTTTTGCCAAAGTATACATTTTAAGCTGGTGTTATGTCTAGTATTCAAAAGACAGTCACTTAGCTGGTACATGAATGTAGCCAAGCCCACAGCACCTAAATTTCAGCGCTGCTTCAGACCCATCATCTGACATGCATAGTAACGCTGCTAAAGGGATCTAAATACGTCAGAATTGTGTGGTGTGTGGTTATATTTGTGTTGTGGTAGTACCTTCATGTTTGTGGTCTCCCCTGGGTCCGAGGACCTATGCCTACTGAATGTCAAAGGTCTACTGTATTTAGTAGTCCACGAATACATAGTGGCTTCTCAGGTATATCCCACAAGTGCTTTATATAGTGGCAGTTGAAATTGGAGGGGTGTCTCTAAGTAAGCCTGAGTCATTTAAAACTCATCCAGGGAATTTACAGTTGAGACTACAAGGGTAAGGATGACACTGGCAACAAGAAGTATGCTATAACTTGGCTGATTCATTTGAGGATTATACAGGTGTATCTGGTCTAATAATCTGACTGGAGATGACAACATTTCTATATTCATCCAACAAATTGTATTAACATCTAGCATGTACCAGGCATGTGGTATATATTAATGGTCTTGGTCTGGGGAGGCTTTCAAGGGCAAGCATTCTCCTGAGGGCTAACCTGTTGTAGCAGCAAATATTCTTAAGATTGCTCTAAAGTACAAATCTCACTAGGGTTTATTAAGCTATGTAGATGCCATAATGGCCCTGATAATGAGGGGATCTATAAATTCCCACAGAGATTTTTTTAGCCAGCGTTTGATGATGGGTACAGGGGATGCGAAAGGCCTTCCCAGCATCCTCCATATTGGTCTTTAGTGTGGACATTGGACCATGTAGTTGCCTTATGCCAGAGGAGCCCAAGAGGAGCCATGAAGCTTCCCAAATAGAAGAAAAAGTATGGGTATTATAAAAGTATTGTAAGAGTTACTGGTGCAGCCACTTTGGAAAACAGTCTGGCAGTTCCTTGAAATGATAAACACAGAATTACTGTATAACCCAGAAATCCCACTCCTACACATATACCTGAGAAATAATAATACATGTATGGGTGAGTCTCTGCCCCTGGTTCATGGCACAGAGCTACTAAAACCCTTGCAATTTCCTAGATGATGGGAGCACTGCCAGCATCTTTTGTTCTACTATTTGGTCTTTGACCCTGGTTTCTGACACAGAGCTCCCAAATCCCTTGGAATTTCCTGGGTGATAGGAGTGTCTTTTGTTCTAAGGAGGCAACTATTGATGAGCTCCTGGATGGTGGCTGGTCGCCAGAAAGACCAGCCAGGATTAGAAGCCTGGAGCTTTCAGCCCCATCCCTCATCCTCTGGGAGGGGGAGAGGGGCTCAAGGTTAAGTTTACATGGATCATGCCTATGTAATTAAGCTTTCATTAAAATCACAAAAGTTTGGGGTTTGGAGAGCTTCTGGACTGGTGAACCCATGGGGTGCTAGGAGACTGGGGTTCCAGGAGAGGGCATGGAAGCTATGCGTCCCTTCCTACATAGCTTGATCTGTGTACCTCTTCATCTGTGTCTTTTATTACATCCTTTATAATAAAATGGTGAACATAAGTAAGTGTTTTCCTAAATTCTGTGAGCAATTCCAGCAAACCATAGACCCCAAGGAGGGGGTTCATGGGGACTCCTTTTTATAGCCACTTGGTCAGAAGCACAGGTAACAACCTGGGACTTTCAACTGACATCTGAAGTCTCATGAGATGGAGCCCTTAATCTGTGGGATCTGACACTGAGTCTGGGTAAATACATTGTGTTAAATTTTAACTGAATTATAGGACATCCAGCTTGTGTCAAAGAGAACTGCCTGGTGTGTAGAAAACCTACACATCTGGTGTGAGAAGTACTAATGAGTGTGTGAGTAAAGGAAAACACACAGTGTTTCCCCTATATAATAACCAAGAGAAATGAAAACATATGTCCACACAAAAACTTGTACACTGATTTTCATAGCTACATCATTCATGATATCCAAAAAGTGGAATCAACTCAAATGTCCATCAACTGATGAATGGATAAACAAAATGTATCCATACAATGAAATATTATTTGGCCATAATACTGAGTGAACTATTGATTCACGCTAAAACACGGGTGAAACTTAAAAACATCACAGTAAGTGAAAGAAGTCAGCCACAAAATGCTATATACTGTACGATTCTATAGGTAAAACTAGACAGACAGAAAGTGGATTAGTGGTTTCAAGAGACTGGAGGGAGGGGAAATGCTAAGTGACTGCTAATGGGTACAAGGTTTCTTTCTGGGGTGACAGAAATGTCCCAGAAATTATATAGTGGTGATGGTTGTACAACTTTGTGGATATACTGAAAACCACTGAATCACACACTTTAAGAGGGTGAATTTTATGGTGTATGAATCATAACTCAATTTTTTTAAAACTCCCTCAGATTAGAAACAGCATGGAATAGTCAGATAACTGGGAAAAGTTTTGGACAGCTAGTACATACAAAAGTATAAGAAAGGGAGTAAGATTGTGATAAAAGGTGCGCTTAATGGAGCAGAGCCTTGTAAACGCTCAGGGCAACTGGGAACCACTGCGGTGACTTAAACACAGTGGCAAGGTAAACCAGATGTGTGCTTTGGACAGCTTGTCAGCATGGGGCATGGACTGAAGAGGTGCACAGAGTCCAGTTACAGCACAACTAGGCGAGAGGCGAGTCTCCGGAAATTCAAATGAATTCAAAACAAGTAGATGAACAGAGCTTGGCAAGTGATTAGATGCGGGAGGTGAGGTGCAAAAGAAGAGCGAGCAGCTGGGTAGACGGTAATACCACAGAGAAGCAGGGGGGGGGGGG